CAGATATCACGAATTTTCAAAAATAACTGATTCGCGCCAAATTTGGTATACAGGGATCACGGATCCGAGGTCAATTTTACAAAATTCAAGATGGCAGATCCAAGATGGCCGACCATATTTTCAAAAAATATCACATTCACGCTAAATTTGGTATATAGGAGTTTTCTCTAAGGAACAGAAACTTTAGAAAAATTTTTTAAAAGTTACACATGCATTGGTAGAAAATTTGGGTAAAATTTGACTGTTAAACATTTTTTGGTTTTCAAGTTACAGCTGCTATTTCATATTTTTTTTGGAAACTTTAAAAGGTTATTTTTATGCAAAACGTGTTCTTTTTAGCTGTAGATTCACCGGTACCATTTGTGCTACTTCTTTTTGAAACACCCTGTATAATCTGGTAAAAAACAATAATTTTAACTAGAAAAATTGTCTCCCAAGAAACACTTCGTAGGAATCGATTACACAATATCAGTTTTAAACTTAGAAATTTGATAACAATATATGAAATTCACTTTAATACAATCTTGTTTAATTCACTTCGTATTACACCAATACTACACATTATTACTACAATTGTAAACATGAAGAACAAATATATAATTTAACTTTCAATCATAATAAATGCAATTTATATACACTGATACATTAAGTTATTTTTAAAGTATATCATGCTTCTTTTTTTACTGTTACTTCTAAATAGTTTGTCTGTATATCTAAGTAGATATTTCTCCAATAATATATGGGGAGTAAATATTTCTTTAAAGAATTTCGTAAAATGATTGCAAAATATAGTTTTAGCATCAATTGTATTTTATTGTGATTGCTATATTGTTATTAAAATTTGTTCTTCACGTTAAAATTCGTATCACGTGAATGTGTAGAAAATTACAGCAAAATAAAGCTCACTAATTTATTGGCTATCGCTTTTATTGTACGCATACCAATATTGTTCTAATTCCATTTATCACATCCCAGCTGTTCCTAAGGATTTAGGTTATTTATCATTTTAAATTCGCGAAGCTAAACATCCCATTAGGTACTATCAATTAAACAGGAAATATATCCCGCATATATTTTTCAATTGAAGTTGTACGTATTCAGTTTTTAGTTAGAACAATATTGAACATGGCTGTAAAAAAACCGCTTACTGCATTGTGCTCTGCTCTGACATTTCCTCTGCCATTTATAAAATTGACGTAAAACGCTTCCTTCCATTTGAACCATTTTGCAGAATCCATATTGATCCCCATCATGTTTTATATTTCGTTATCCTTACAATCACCATTCTGACAGATATGAAATTTTACAAAAGAAATTGTTGTATGTGTGACCATAAAATCGGCTTACTAGGGTTAGCGTCTCCCAATAAGTTTTTTTTAGATAAATTCTTTTTGCATTACAAACCTGCAGTCTTCAGATTTAAATTAAATAACAAATCACGCAATGTACAACAATTTTTTGGGTCAGAGTGAAATTCAAAATTCTGTCATTGGCACACAAGTACAGATGCAGTTTGGCTTGAAGTAGATTCTATTTTGTTTTACTCAATCGCTCGTGTTTTGCCCTCTTGTTGTAATTTAGTTTTTTAATCAGTATTTACACAACTCCAGTCAATGGTTTCCTTTGGAAATAAAAAAATAACTAAATTATAAATAAAATATCCCATCATGGGGATACTGAACATTTAATATTTGGCATTAGCAATCGAAACTATTAAACTAAATTAAACTTTTTTAAATAAATAACAAATTTGTAAACCACCCTGGTAGCTATGCTTCAAACAACAATTACGAACTTTCTATCTAAAGAAATATCTGGATGTTTTACAGATAGTGTACTGGCATATGTCGCAAAGAATGTTATCGATATTACTTACAATAAAGGTAAAATATGAATCAAACGGTAATGACAAAATGTCTCTTACATTACTCTACGAGCAAGATATAAATTTTTTGTAAGTTTCTACGAGGTCTGTTCAAAAAATAATAGAACATTATCTTTTTAATAATTAATTGTACTTATACGTTCATTGATTCTTGCCTCTTTTAAAGTACTGCTCTCCCCTATTAACACACTTTGCCCAGCGAAGCAGTTCTGGATAGCTTCATTGGAAATGGTATTTATATGAGTATATGACAAATTTGTTTTGATGTCATCAATAGTCTGAAAACCTTTCAGCACTGATTTTAATTTCTGAAATATGAAAAAATCTCAAGAAACCTGGTCTGGCGATTGAGGAAGGTGAAGGAGGACGGTAATCTGATTTTTGTCACTAAACTTGCTATTTGGCAATGCTGAGAATGCGGGCGTATTGTCATGGTGCAAAAACCACGGGTAGTCTTGTCATAACTCTTTCTTTTTACGGATATTTTCACGTAACCGTTGTAAAACGTCTTGATTAGTACAAACGATTCACTGTTTCACCTTGAGCCAGGAATTCAAAATGCACAATTCCATTAAACTCCAAAAATAAATGAGCATCACTTTGACATTAGGTCGAGATTCACATACTTTCTTCCTCCTTTGCCAATCCAATGTGATGATTGACCTTCTGTCTCAATGTCGTAACCGTAAATCCAGCTTTCAGCTCCCGTTATGATTCTCTGAATGAATGTTTCATCGTAATTGGATTGTTCAAGGAGTTGTCGACAAACGTCCATATGATTTTCTCTCTGTTGTTCGGTCATCAAAAGAGGAACAAATTTTACTGCAACTCGATGCATGTTCAGTTTTTAAGTCAAAATTTCATGGCATGACCCAATAGAGTCCTTTCTAGATAACCCCTTCTGCAATTTATCTTTTTCACAGTCAATTGGCGATATGAATGTACCAGATCTTTGACTTTCTAAACGTGGCAGTGATCAGTTGATGTTGAAGGATTGCCTGGACGAAGATCATCTTCAATTGAGTGGCGATCACTTTTTCAAAAAGTTCGTTTTTTTCTGAGCAAACCTCGTACATTCAGTTTGAAGCAGCTGTAAAATTGTACGAAATTTCTTGTTATACATATAACACATTTGACAATTATGGATTTGATTTTTTTTGAGAAAAACCTTTTAAATTGATTTTATTTTCATAAACCTTTACAATGAGATAATTTTGGCAATTTTAATTGTGTCAATAATATACTTAAAGAATAACGCTGTCGTACCACCAGTTCATTTATTTCATTCATATGAATACGACTTTTTAAGAATTCGTATGAGTAAAATATCACATAAAATGCCTAAATAAAATACTTACTCATAACTTTTATTATGCTGTCATTTTTAAATTCACATAATTTCAGTCTTGCATATTTATTTAATTCTAATCATATGTATATTTGTAGAAGATAGATCTCTCTGTTTTTTGTAGCTTTATTATTTGTTGTAGTTAATAAATTATATTACAAGATAATTATTGCATATAAAATTTATAGCGAATTTATAAAAAGAAAAAATTATTTGATGAACCAGTAAAGATATAACTGAAATGCTTGCCATATATTTGAATTTATTTTTTATAGATTTGTAAGAAAAACTTGTTGTGTAAATACTTCTGTTTTGCAATAGTACTTACGTAAGCAATTATTATTAATAATCTTTTGTAGTTAGCATTTTAACAGGTTGCTTTTAAGCAAGGGAGATGGAGAGATAGAGTAAAACAATGTAAAAAATGGATAGTTACCATTAAAGGATTTTTTCAGTGCCGCCTAATTAATTTGTTTCGCCAAAACTTTCTTAATGAAATTCGAGAGGAAAATTTTCTGGATAATTAAGCATACTCAGAAATTGTAAATTGTTTATTAAGTTTTAGTGAAACAAGTTATCAGAACCTCGGCAGAAAATGCAGAAAACTATATAGTGTTCTCTAATTAAATTTCAGAGCGAAATTCACAAGATGCTTCTGGCACTCGTCCTTTCGGACAGCCCTTGTGTATAGGTCCTCAAATAAACAACGGAAATGGCCTTGATATACCCCAACCCTTACAGTCACCTTCACCTACACCTTCCAAAGGAAAACACTCACCTATTGCTAAAAAGGGCACAAAAACCAAAAAATCAAACTGACCTTTTTACTACCTTTACATAGTTCTATTGTTATTAGCAATATGTTGCTCAATTTATTTTTTGGTTTTGTTATTCAATTTCCTTTTGTTGATTGTTTCCATCTGTGATAAATAAAGATTAATCTAAAGAAACAAACGTTTGTTTATTCAAATGAAGAGAACGAGTAAGTTAGTTTTTTGTGCTTGATTATAACAATGTGTGGTCTTTGAAAGTAATAATAAAAATGAGTATACAATCAAGAAGAATTTTGCAGTGTTTCTTACAAAAAAGCTGTTTCCACTTAACTACCTATATTGTTCCAGTGGAGACGTGTAAGGATCAATTTCAGTGGCTTTAAAAGAAATATTACCCAACAAATCTAGGGCTTCCTGTACTGAAAAACGAACCCTCATGAGTACGTCATTTTATCCAAAGTAGATATTGATAAACTCATTCAGAACTTTAAATTAATTAACTTCTTTTCAGAATACGTAAAAAGAATTTCTTTGTAGACTTTAATTAATAAAGAAAAATATTTTATACACACCTTTATTTCTAACATATTTGTGAATCGTCTTTTACTAATAAGTATGTATTTAATTACACATTACATACATTTTTTTCTTTTCCACGTTAATATTTCTTTTAAAACCATAGAAACTGAATCACTTCAATATTATTAATTGCAAACCTGCTGTTAAAACTAATGGAGGAAAACAGCTGGGCCTCATTTGGACCCAAGAGCTTTCAGTAACTAATACAGCTTTCAGTTATGAGAAAAAAAAACTGTACCCCCAGAATTTCCTATAATCATTCCTAAAATGATCTGACCTTAATTTGTTGTATGTATAGTTCAGCACTAAACACTAATCCGCCACGACTTAGTATAGTTAACACTAGCTTGTAGAAGTTACCAGTTTCTCTTGATATCTTGTAGCCAGTATACAACTTTTCAATGTTATTTGTCAGGAACAAGCATGACGTCCTCCACGAGTGCTGTGAACATTTGTCCGATGTTGAGGACCAACAATGTCGGTCTGTATTAGAATGACATTAGAGAAGAATCCAAAATTTTATTTCATTTGGAATTTCGTTTCGATTTTGCCCTTAGATGGAATAGAAAGTTGTTTATGCGAAAACTAAACCACAAAAAGTTATGATGTTTCATTATTTTATTTTTGCTTGTTCAGTGTCCAGTTCATCTATTGAATTTTACAATATATGTTTATTTATACATTACTGCGCCAGCAAATTATTCTATCGATTTGGCTATGTTTACACGTTTACTTTAAATTCAGCATATATGTACCATTGGAAAATACTTATTTAATTTAAAAAAATTCAAATATTTAAATTGACAATATGTTCCACCAAGATATCATGAAACTTAATAAATTTACCTATATAAATTTCACGAAAATGTTTTTATACACATAATTTTGAAGTTAAGAAAGAATTTAGTAATCCTAAAAATAATACAATTCAGAAAATTATAAATAATTTAAAAAATACAACTACTAAAACTATTCCTTCAAAATTATAAATACTTTATCAGTAGCCTTATTATTTTTAACTATTATCAAAGTTTGACTCAGCGTATCTTCAGAAGTCGCTCCTTTATGTCATCAAAATTGCACTCTCGTAAATGGAGTATATTTATAAAAGAATTAATAAATTGTCATAAAAAAACTCACTACAACAATTTTTCTTAAAAGACAAAAATTAGTCTTCCACATCCACAATCTACATCGTTGACCACAAAACTGGTCAACAACCATTTATAAATATTTTCTACAAATGAAAAGTCCCATTAGTAATTCTACTATTACATTATACCAACTAAAAACAAGAAAAGAACTTTTAAGAATATTGGTTTTAAAATATTTACTTCCTCATATTTTTCGCCATCAATCGTCTTAATAACTTTATTTTATTATTTTAATTGATATAATGCATCTAATTTAAAAGAAATCAATGGTACTTTTGATTTTTCATTCTGTACCACCCTAAGCGTTTAGTAGATGTTGCGGGTGCAATTCAGCGCTAGGCAGGGCTGTAGTCTGCAGAGCTGTTGTTTCCAACAATCAATAGGTAGTTAATACTCCTTGCATCGCCGCCCTTGCAAATAAGGAGAAAACAATTATTCTGTGGGATTACTGGATTAATAATAATTTACATACCCAGTCTCATTTGGATCTGATCAAACGTTTTGCAGTTATCTAAAAGATGTGTTTATAATAGTGGATTATTAACGATTGTCGGCCCCTTGTTCGTAGTATACTTATTGCCTATATTGACATTTCGAATATTTTATCTCAGTTTGGCATCTTATTATAGAAATAAGCTATGCAATATCATTAATAAGTTATACTTTTCTATCAATGGAAAATGTTTCACCTGTTACAAAAACAAAATTAAAATTACAGATAAACATAATAGTCGGATAAAATACTAAAAATAAGTAAAGAAACGCAGGATTTTGTATGAAGATAAAACATTTTATTAATTAAAAAGGTGGCAAAGTTTTTACATGTTTTAAAATGGTAGACATTGCCATTAAATATTAAACTCATTTGGCATACCCGACTTCTTTTACGAAAATGAGACTGAATTTCATTGATAACTCTCCGAATTTCTGGTTTTAATTCAGGAATGGTATTCATTTGAGCTGAATAAACTTTGGACTTTACGAATTTCCACGGGAAAAAGTCGCATGGAGTGAGATCGCATCAGCTTGGTGGCCAAGTCACTTCACTGATGAGTCGTCCATTAAATTTCTGCAGTAACAAGTGGATAGTGCCGTATGGCAGATGGCATCATCCTGCTGGAACCACATATCATTCAAATCCATGCTATCCAAATGAGGCCACAAAAAGTTCAATAGTATCTCTCGATATCGTTCTCCATTGACAGTCACAGCACTGTCAGCCCCATTTTCGGACCAATCATCCCATCGGTATAAAATCCACAAAACACTGTCACTCTTTGAGTATACGTGGTCGTTCTTGAATGACCTGAAGATTGTCTCTACCCCAAATTTGAAGTCTTGCTTGTTCACATATCCACTAAGATGGAAATGGGCCTCGTCGCTAAAGATGATTTTATTAGCAAAATCACCGTCCACTTGTTGATTTTCCAACATCCAATCAACAAATGTCCGGAACATTAAATAGTCGTCTGGTTTCAATTCCTGGGTTAGCTGAATCTTGAATGGATGCAGATGCAGATCTTTTGTCAAAATCTGCTGCATTGTGCTTTTTGAAATGTTTATTCGCAGTGATCGACTGCACACTGAGGTTACGGGAATTTCCGGCCCATTATCACTAACCGTAGCAAGGCAACTAACCTTTTCACAGTTGTTTCATTCGGGGCATTCTTTCTACCGAAAACTCCAGGTAATTTGCACAGAGTCTCAACACACTCTCCTACTTATAATGAACTTTCACAATCTTCATTCGCTCATCCGTCGTATAGCGCTCGATTTTGTTTAACCGCAACATTACTGCAACATGATGCCAACTATTCGGAATGAAAATTACGCACAATTCAAATCCTGCATTACTTTTGGGTCAGCTTTTATTTGCATTAAATTTCATGGAAAATATTTTGCACCTTTACCGCATCCATTGTTAAAGAAAGGATACTTATGGTACATAAAATATTTTTCTCAAATTGGCAAATGATGTATCAATAACAAAGTTGTGCCGTTGTATCATTGTTTAATTTATCAGCAACATTTTTGTTCTTATTTTAGTTGATTCTATATCGAGTTTCCAATTGGTATGTGGGAATAAAAATTTCATATAGAACAAAAAACTGTAAAAATACTGCATTTTATTCATTTCAAATCTTGTGTTTCTAATAGTTCTAGTGTTCGCATAAACAACAATATAGATCCCCAAAAACCAGTAGAGTAACAGCACATAAATATAACCCACAATACAACCACAACAATGTGCATGGTGTGCCCTGTGTACCCCATACCCATACCATATTTTTTTGTACTGTAAATTAAACTTATTTCAATGTTTCAATAGCTCCACATTCTCCACGTCGTCAAAAGCTGAATCTTCGTATGAAAAGCTTATCCCTAGATTCGCCAGAAAGCACAGAACACGTTAGAAGAGGAAAACACCATGGAGTTATCACCGCTAGCGATCCCCACTCGAACCAGAGCTCGTCCTCAAGGATTCAGTGTATGGAGAACATGTTAAATGTTATGCTGTCCCTTTTAAAATTTCTTTATTAAATATTTTAGAGTATCCTGAATTTCCAAGCGATGCAACAATATACTTCATCACTTGAAATTTTTGGTACTCTCGAATAACTAAATGCTTTTCAGCCTTTGCGACATATTGCTGTTTGTTCGAGAATGCACAACTGCTCCTTATGCACCGCACTTATCTTTCACGTAACTTATGACTGATTTTTTTTATTTATTATTAACTTACGTGCATGTTTCACAGTTTCCAATGTTCCCCCAAGGCCTGTTCAGAATCACGTTACACGAAGTGACCTGAAAGCAAAATCAAGTATGCATTTTGCAAGTTTCTTAATGTATTTCAAAGTTATAAGCAGATAGAAATGTTCATGTATATTAAATGTATGAAAGCTGATTTTTATTTTATAAAATATATCAACTTTTATAACTTTGAAACATAAATAGTGTCATTACTTTAAATATAGCTGTCAAACATGAATAAACACCAAACGTCATGATGCTATTTGATATAACAGTTTTTCAGATATAAGGGTAAAAACGGAAACAGTAAAAGATACTCAGTTTTGTTAATTAAAATAGATTACAGTAAATAAGAGGGAGACTGGTTTTCCATCCCAGGCTCCCGGATGGGATATATTTATCTCAATTACCTAATATTGAAGGACATTAAATGCGTGTTTAAAGAGGAATAAATATATAGCCAACACTATTACAGAAATTCAGCAAAGAAAAACATTTAATCATGTTTCTACTATAGTGAATTAAGGATCTTTTACTAATATAAAAGTTTCCATACAAAATTTGCCCTCATTGCATGTTTGTTAACAGTTACCTATTAATATGTAACATTGAATTTTTTAGTCATATTTGATCCATTTAGTTAACTCGTTATGCAGAACCTAATAACAAGTAAGACATTGTAAGTTCCTCAATAGTTATTTAGATTGGTTGTTTTCAATCATAGTAATTGGAACTGTAACCGCAGCAACGACAAAAGCTACAGAAACAAAGAGTATGACAAAAGCTACCAGTCAAACAATCCTCCCAATAATGAGGACAATCACGACATTCTGGCCATACCGAACAACAAGGGGAAAAGAAACGATGATAACACAGCAAGGAAGATAAACTTGACAGCGACAGCAAGACAATTACGGCTACAACAGCAAATGTAATATTGAAAGTTTATTTTACTGGTCACAACAAGAGTAACGCAATAATGCACAACTATAATAAGACTTGTCACTCAGGACAGCTGTCATGATGATAGAAAAGACAGCAACGATGATCTCTGTAACAAAATCATCAGAGACGTTTTCATATTGTCAACGAAAGCAGACATCAATGACTGTTGCTATAACGATCATTGCTTTTAGTTGTTGCTGCAACAGGAATAATTTTTTATTACTCTCTACAAAGACTTATTCCATATCCACATTGATGCGAATATTGTTAGCCAAGTTTGCATCAATATTCACAAACAAGGTAGGTTTCGTTTCTGTGCGGAGGGGGTTCATATACCTTTTCTAGTGCCACTTGATTTTCGATATGTCTATTTTTAATTAAATTGAATTTTTTTCGAACTGCGTCTGTCACTTCAACTAATTTGTATTTTAATTCGATATCGCTAGCATTATGGTCATATTTATTATTCTCTCCCTTCTTCATTTTTTGATCTGAACTCGACGTTGTTTGAATAACAAATAACATTAATGTTTTTATGGATTATGGATATATGTAACTGTCTAAACCTTTTCGATATCTACCTTCTAATTTTCTGTCCTTGTTAATAATTAAAAATCCATATTTATATTTCCAACACTCGGCACACATCTTCTGAAATTCTTTAAATGTCACGTCCGGTGAATCGTGGTCTTGAAATATGTGATGCATATTAATTTCATCTTGTTTAAACATGACGATCCAGTTCGAGTTATCCCTTATAAGTTGTTTTGGAATACTGGAGTATGTTTGAGCAAGATAGAAGCAGTCTACAGATGTATGTCAACCCATACTAAAGTATGACCTAATAACATCTTGTTTCTCACATATAACATCATCAAATATAAACACCGAAACCGGTTTAGCATCAGATGGTTCAACAATTTCAGGGTTATTATTAAACGTATAGAATTACAGTCCTTGAAACATGTTGCGCAGATATTCATATTTCGGTTGATATAAAGACTTTGTTAGCAAAACGTAGACCGTGCGGATGTGTAATGAGAGAAATCATTACATTTGTTTTTCCGTAGTTAGAAGGACCAATTATAAGCCCTCTAATTGTTGATGGCAAAAGTGGACCATGACGTTCTTGATTAGCACTTAGACTACAACCCACACTAGAAGGGATTCTGAATGGATTTTTGTACTTTTTTTGATGTTTCAAAGTACGAATGTGTATTGTGCAAATTTCTAAAACCGCTTTTCTATTCATATATTCATGATATCAGGAAATATATGATACATTTTTTCAATATAGTTCTAATTCAGCATTTATGTTTCCTTTTCTTTACTTTGTGATACAAATTACCGCTTCTGTGGCGTACCCAAAATCATCATCATCATCATCATCATCATCATCATCGCCAAGAGAAACATTGTCCGAAAATAGTGTTCGTCAATATTAATTAACAAATACAATATAGCATTCTTCGCTTCAGTGTGGATCCAGGATAACATTTCTTGCCACATTAAAAAATCCATTATTTTTATTTATAATTTCTTATAAATATTCCAAAATTGTTTCCAAAAATAAAACTTTAAATCGTATTGAACTATGGTAATACATCTTATAATTCAAGTGACGCAAAGTCTTAATGAAATAGCTTCTGAGAGTTAACTAAATGCGCTGTATTACGGCATGCCACTTACGTTAACGGAACAGTTAAATTAATTGCCTGAAAACTATAGCCCCCTCGAGCCCTGTGCACAATCGCCGATTGCTATCAGCGAAGAACATTCGAATGTCTTCTGTGGAACTTCCTGACGATAATGAGAAAAGTCCCTCATCTGCAAGCACTTCACCATGTCCCAGTCCTGTAGGAGGCAAAGTAAGTGCAATTAAACAACCAAATAAAGTTTCCGCTTAACTCAGTGAATTTTATGCATAGAAAAAACTCTTTTATATCTACAGAATGTTTAATTTCTCTAGGAAATAAGTTCAGCCCTACAAGCTTTAGCACTTTAAAAAGCGAAATGTATTTTTTGGGATTAACAAATTGAAATTATATATGAATAAATGCAATTTAACATAAACATATTAGCAACAAACGTTTTTAGGAAAAATAGTTGGTTGCAGTCCACGTTAGACTGGCCCTTTATGATTAAGAAAAGAAGCACTTTTTGATTGTAGTAATAGTATTTTCATAATTAAAAATTAAAATTATTTACCCAATTTATAAATAGAAGAGGTAGTAAGAAATAAAAATCGGTCATAGCTTTTTCTTTGAACATAATTAATTTATGTTTACTAGCTGTTATGTCCTATATTTAGCTTAACATTTTATTTTCTCAGAAATCTCACAGATTGCTTCCAACCAACCTGTACGTGGTGCTCTACAACTTCAAGTCTCGTCATCAAGACGAGCTTGATCTTAAAGCTGGTTATAAAGTAACTGTAATAGACACTTCAGATCCAGATTGGTGGAAAGGCAAGTGCTTAGGGAAAGTTGGATTCTTTCCTTCCAAGTACGTTTCCAAATTATCTTCAGGAGAGAAGCCATTACAGGTAAACGAGATGTGAAAAGAAAACAATTACATTTAAGGTAACGTTTGTAGCAACTTTAAAAAAAATACGTTTAAGCAGTATGTAATGACAGGAAAACTCAATTCCTGAGCATTAAATTTGATGGACATATATGAACTTTGATTTTACCTTTTACCTTCTTATTAGACATTATACTTAAGGTACTTAAGAAACAGTATTTGCGTTTATTATATTAATTTTTAATTTAATTAATACGATGAATACTGGACAAAAGTATCTCGTCCACTATTTGTTCTAACGGATTCCTGTAATGTTCAAATAAAGTATATCATATATGCTACAACTTCAATAGTGCTTGTAATGAGATGATGTATATTCTGTTGGGATATCTCATCCCTGGTTTCCTATAACTCATGAAAAGTGACGCCAAAATTAGGTAAAATATGCTTTGACAGTCTCCAACTATTTTCTCCCGTCATAGATGTTTCATCGAGGAAAATTTGAAGATCTTGATGACAACAGATCGACTGCAGCTTGCTCAAAGTAGTTCAGTGTTAGTCTGGTTACACATTATCTTGCTGAAAAACTGAATTAGCAAACATTTCAATATGTTCTTAGCATAACACTAACAATTTCAAGGACTCACATTTACATGCCTAATAAAAGCGTAACTTTTAATCTGATAATAATAATAAGCAGTGTCATTTCATTGGAGGTAACAATAGTTTGAGATGATGACAATGGTTTAATGCTGCTTAGAAAATTGGAGGCTAAAAACGGGAGAGATTAGGAATTGGAAAATTCGAGAATTTCAACCACCTATAAATCTATAATACAACCAACAGTAATTTAGGAAAGTGAATTATGGAGTCTTAACAAAAAAAAAATGAGGACTTTATAGGAAAGATGTAAGAGAAAATTATCGATAAATACAAATACAGGACAAAAACTGGGAGATTTTTTAATGAGAAGAAGAAATATATAGATAACTGATGAATGTATAAAGAAACAACAACAACGACAGTAATTGAAACTCAACGAAGAAGAGGTTAGGGTTTGTGTATCGGATGCCGATAGGCAGAGCAGCTAGACAAATTCTTACATAGGGTGTTGAGGTGATCCGAAGAAGAGGTAGACTCAGAATAAAATGGCTACTAAACTGGTGATCAGAGATTGGAGACAGGCAATGGGGAATAGGTAGAGATGGAAGAGAATGTTCATATGCTATGGGCCTACATGTCTGATGTACACATATATAAAAGTCCAACTTTTCAGCAAAATAATGTCCAGCCGCCACTGGACTACTTTCAGCATACAGCAACCAATCTGTTGCAGTGAGCACCAGGACCTATAGGTCTTGCTTGCTCCTGTTGGTCGAAATATTGATACGTCAAATTGATACGTCTCTGGAAGAATCTCGTCAACTCCATTAAGAGGGACAGGTAGCCTAGGAAAAGATTCAGCAGGATGTTATCATCCTGTTAAAAGCATGTTTAGACATATTCTTTAATGTGTAGCACGTCTTGACAGACTAACACATTATTTAATTCAAATTGGTTGGAAATTTGTTATTAATTCCCTTAATATACATACTGGGTGAGTTTCTTTCGATGTTGAGTATAGGGATCTCGGAAAGTAGCAGAAATACAAAAAGCTTAAATGAAGAAAGATGTGCAGTTTTATAATCCTTATTAAATGTTACTTTTATTTAAAAAAAAAACGTCACGGCTGATTAGATATTTGAAAAAATCTGAATTCGGCCAATTCTTTCAGATGTGTGTTGCTATTTATTTTACAAAAAAATTTTAAATTACAAAGTTTCAGGTTTTTGCACTGTTAATAAGACAGTGTGATCAAATTGATCGAGTACACTTTCGTTTTCAAGTTATAACATAAACTTCAAGTTTTTTTTATGTAAACCATAGTTAGCTATGAGCTAGTAATTCAAAATAACTTTTCTTTATAACACTCTTCTGTATTGTCAAAAATAATGGTACTTTACTCTTGAGTAAAATTCATAATTTCTGATATACCTCGTATATGACTGGTAAATTTTTATAACAGAAGGTTGCATTCTAGATTTTAGACCATGCAGAACTTTTTATGAAGAATAACTTTTTTCATAAAACCAATAATAAAAAAGTTTTCCATATGGTTCCAACTTAAGTAGACACACTGTATAAATGTTTTTTTACAATCTTTTCTAGGTTACACACAACTTGCAAGTGTCAGATGGTGACAATGGTTTGATGCTGCTTAGAGATCAGATAGTGATCCAAATAGGAGAAGAATTAGACGGGATGGTGATGATCCGTTCTGGAGACAATCGTCAGGGCGTGTGCCCGGTTAAATTCCTTCAGGAAGTGTGACATCGTAATGAGGTCGCGTGTCAAGCTACTTATCCATGTAATTGTTTAGATAAACAGCAAAATGCACCGTCGAGCACCTTGAAGAAAATATATTACCCCAGCCCAACCACTAGATTGATGATACAGAACAATACTTTGACAAAACAGAACAATAAGAAAAACATAAATTCGGGTAGCATACTACAGTATTATTACAATAATTTCGGTCAAAATAACAAAGATACAAATGTTTATAATAACGTTCTCAACAGAAGAAGAAATGAGCTAGCGTTCCTTCATGGAAAAGCCCCCTTTTCATCCACCAAACGTCCTTTATCTATACGACTTTCCACACCCAAGCACGTTGCAAATTTTTTTAGTAAATCTTTTAAGTCAGACTCACAAAAAAGACCATTGTTGCTACAAGGAGCAATGAATTTTAACAACCAGGAACAGAAACCCAATTTTCAGATAGTACCCAACAGAAATGGACTAAGATTGTCCTCTATATACACAATCAGTGAGGACGTGGAAAAGTTTAGTTTATATCGGAAAAATTTATACATTTCATCGAATAGTAGGCCTCTTTTTGTGAGAAAATGAGAATTTTTTTATTGTACAATTCCACAAGAATTTAGGAGAAATAGTTCAACATATTTTTATAAATGTTATAGAATAACCTATACTTATATGTGATTTACCAGCACTTCCTTACGCATCTTATAAGCACTCAATATCCTTACACTCAATCCCTTAGTCACCACACATTATAATAATACTTTATTTACTGGAACTGTAAATTCACTACAAAATTGTCAATGTCCAATTCCCTCTTTGAAAGATATTAAACAAGCCCTAACTATTCAGTAAAACAAATCATTTTAACCGTAATATGTACCTATTTCCAGCAAATTTTAGTTTATATTTATTGACAGCTAAATTGATAACTAATTTTTACATTTTCAGCAAGTTTTTGAAATGCTCCTCAACGATAAAAATTATAGATTATTGTTTCTAGCTATAGAGATGCAAATACAGAGGTTAAATATAAGAAAATCACTTTTACGAAGGCAATTTTCATTGCAATAAGAAAAATAATAATATTAATGCATCCTATATCATAATTAACAGAATGGGATAAAGAAAAGTAATTTCATTAATAGTGTAATTATAAAATTTGCAATAAAAATTCATTTTAAGTAAAACCATAAATTATGAACCTTATGAAAAAAAAAAACAGAAATTGGAAGGCAGGGTTACTATAACATAATAGAAGTGCATTTAATTCGCAATCGAAAAATCGTTATTACTCTGTAGACTTAAGCTCGCAATCTCTTCATTTGTTTCTCCACAGCGCAAAAGTATTTTCTGAAAAAGTAACAAAAACCAACATCAGGTAAATTTACTGCACTTTATATGATGTAAATTAAGATTTGTAACAATTTATAAAAACAGTAATTTGTACACATTCCACAGCCTTTTTAATCACATACATTACTAAATATTATCTAACGTCGTTTACACATAATGGTCAAGAGTCTGTGTCATTCAGAATTGTTTTAAGGAATTGATTATTAAAAAATGTCGCATATATTTAAATACATGTTATTATGTTAACTCTAGAAAATTATATTAAAAAAAAATTGTAATAGTTAGTAAACTAGATAAGTATTAAATATATATCACTGAGTTGTGCAATAATAATGAACAACACAATACATATTCATTCCCAAAAGACTGTTTTGTTATTGTATTGTACACAAAAGTATATGTTCATATGTAAATATAGAATAAATGAAATTACTACCTCCCCGTACAAAATTTTAAAACTTCTGATCAGTAAATCCCGTGTACCCTATCTAATACCCGAAACACTATTTTTTATTTAAACAGTCACTGTTACATTTAGAGCTTGTACCTTTAACTATTCTCTAAACTCTAAACCAAAATTTATGTCACATTCCAACTTACATTTTTAGAATTTATTAGAACTATTAGTGGAAAAAATGGAAAATGAAACAAAAAAATAATTAATAGCATGGGTAAAGGGTAAAACATGCAATGTTTTAATCATTAATCATTACAATTATTATTTAATGAATATGATAAATACGTGATCACACATTTTCTGTAAATAATTTCGTTGACCAGTTTTTGTGCAACAAACAGAGAAGAACAACGGTCTAATTAACGGACTTACACTTTGTTTATATGAAAAGGTAATTGGTTTCGTGTTTCATTTGTTTACAGTATAAGGCCCGGTACTTGGAATCTCGGTTAAGGCTTGATTAACTAATCAGGCGATTAGACTGTGATTATACTTTATAAAATAAATCTACAAATGTACAGTCTAATCGCCTGATCAATTAATCAACCTTTAACCGAGACTCAAAGTACCGAGCCTAAATATATAAAATAATATAATAACTAAAATAAAAGTAACCACTTATAATTTTTATTAAAATACAGCGAGCTATTTAGTCCAGTCGAATTAGAGTTTGAACGTAAAAAAATAATTAATAGTCATTTTATTGCACTTTATGACGAGGAAGGGTATCTAGAATGATGTCAAAAAACTAACTCAAATGACGCTAATTTGGCAAAAACGGTCAATCCAATGACCAATATGTGTGTCAAAAGCGTTAATTAATTTCGTTCTAAACGTGAATTTTAGAAGTGAATATCGTAGATATAGATTCTAATTGATTCAAACAAATGTATCGAAAAATAAAAATTTGAAAAAAGTTAAAATTAAGTTGTTCTTTACAACTAACAAAGCAGAATGTGCAAAACAGGGTTGTTAAAAATAAAAATAAATAAATAAATAAATAAATGGTTCCAGGATCAGGCAAAAGTCGCTCGAGAATTCTCTCTTTTTGCATTAAATAGAGCTCATTTTTACGGTAATTAAAAAAAATAAATCACCTACGCCTCTTTATTCCCAAGACAGCTATTTTTTAGCCTTAATTGTTAACTAACTAACGGTAACTAATTAATGTAAACTTTTAGTGTTCCTAACGTGTTTGAAGTATCAATATAAAAGTTGAAAATAAATTGCCTTAATAGTTTTAATTAACAATTAACGTTATAAAAAAAGCTATCTTGTGAACAATGGTGATTATTTTTTTAAATCATTGTAAAAAATAAGCTCTATTTAAAGCAAAAAGAGCGAATTTCCGAGTGGTTTTTGCCTGACCCTAGGACAATTTATTTATAACGCTGTTTAGCACTCCTATTTTGTTAGTTGTAAAGAGCAACTTAATTTCAACTTTTTGAAATTTTTCTTTTTCGATACGTTTCTTTGGATCAATTAGAACCTATATCTACGATATTAACTTCTAAAAGTAACGTTTAGTAATTAAACAATTAGTTGCAAAAAACGAACGATATAAATTGAAACTTGGAGTAACAATTTCACGGTCAATTGAATTGACCTTGGACATATATGTTGTTCATTGGATAGACTGACCATCATTCCATCAATATCCATCGATTTTTGTACAATTTTTTAAAACTGATTTTTACGCGTTCGACCTTTATTTTACAGAAAACAAATTGGTGAAATATGACATTAGGTACCTTTCAAATTGTGTGTTATTTAATTGCATACAACAAAAACATCCAATTTTCCGATAGGTCATCTAGATTTTCGTGGGCAGTAAAAGAAGTGAAAAAACATGTAATTCTACGCGTCACTTCTTTCGAATTAGTTTTTTGATATTATCATTCTACGTACTTTTCAGCGTCATAAGGTGCAACAAAATGTCTACCAATAATTATTTTTTTTAAGTTTTCAGGGTTTATTATATAATTCGACTGGAATATTCTTAACTGTTACAAGATATGGTCAAGAGGTGTGTCATCCAACAAATAAAAAACAAACGAATAGTTCAAACAGAGCAGTTCACATTTTTTACTCTACTAAAGAGTTAATTGAAATATTAAGTTAATTATTATTTTTCAAGAATAACAAAAATACTAGATATTTCTTTGAAAGTTTGTATTATTCAGTAGGTATGTCAGATATGTGTATTTATATTAATAATATTTAGGCCTACCATTATTATTTTACTTTCAATAGACTTTTGGTACCAAAGTTTGACTTACTTTGATTGTATTTTTTAGGAAAAATTTATTGAATAAGCTGGATTTCTTTATAATAATATAAAGAGAACAACCGATATACGTATGTAGGTACGTAAAATTTTTGCTCAAATTATTTATTTAAAAATAAATGGCGTCTGGTGTCTCATCCTCCAATTACCAGTAAGTTAAAAGGACTAAATATATGTAAACAAATGAACGCTTAACTTTACAAAGTTTGCCTACTTGATCCTTGAGAAAATGAATAATTTGTACATAGCAGTTCCCATTTCACACCCATCTTCCATAAACATAAACATATTTTTTGAAGTCATGTACGATACAATTTCAACATTATGCACATGACCAAATAAAAAAATTGTTAGTATTATCATATTATTAAACATATTAGTTAGTTTGTGTAGAATATTCTGTTAATTGTTATGTCCATATCCTGTGTTATAATGTGTTATTAATCACGTTAATAAATGTTTATAATAGTATTTGTATTGATTTATTGAAAAATTCTTTGTACGTAGGACATAAGTGAGATGTATGGAACAACAAATTCTTTATTAACACAAAATTTCGTAAAATAGTGCTTGATTCAGGTAATCTCTATAAAATAAAGGTAACTAATATTAAAAATATACAACCTGCAAAGTAAATTTGCAGGTTGCACTGATACTTTAACATGAACTTTGATCAGGTACCTCTAGATGTCACACAGCTGGGTCACTTTTACCTATTTATATTTCACATTTCCTTACAGATTAGCAAAAGGTTCAACAGGAAAATTATTAGCTACTGACTATAACAAATAAGAATATCGAATAAAAAATTGTTTAGGTTAAAGGCTTTTAAATAATTTTTTGATTAAATTAAATTTCTTTCAACAATTCTTAAAAGTTCGGTAATTAATTCATTAACAAACAAAT